ACAAACATTTATTAAACATCCAAAAGGTTCACCATACCAATCAAATAAAAAAACATTTAAACAAAAATATAATGCAAGCAGAAATGTAACTGTGATAAAAATAAGGAAAAACTTGATTAGGTATTATAGCCTACTGTACTATTCACTCTTTAAATAAATCTCACTATCCATCCCATTTTATCATGGCAACTAAAATAAAGTGAACTAGTCTCTGCTGTCTTCCACATTATTGATGAGATTGTGGAGGATATTTTCCATGTCATCCTCTTCATTTTGAGGAAAAGCTGTTCCACAGGGCCCCTGAACACATCTATTGGCATGGACAGTGTTTTGAACAATACTATAGTAAAGTACTTTAATTAATCTGTTGGGGTAATATTATAGTTGCTATGGTAACACAAGTGTAATATAAACAAATGACCCAGTGCTGTAGTTTTTTTACAGTATTGGGTATATTATACTACAATTCACCACACTTTACTGTAGTAAAACTACACTCTGTATTTCATTTTATTAGTTCACTATTCTTAATACTAAAGTATGCTGAAGCATTCATTAACAACTTGTAAATAATACTAGCCTAAAACATAGGCAGTATACCTAACTCTCAAAAACACTAGTATTTATTATAGAATTTACCTTAACCTCATAGTTTTTCGTGTATTGTTACTAAATAGTTTAGCAATATATAAACCATATCAACATTCTGGAATAATCAATTTATCAGGAGGATCTCTGGAGACCAAAAGCAGGAAAATTATGAAGCGCCAGTGTGGACAAAACTCAAGCAAATGCAGAGAGACTGAAAAAGCGCGTGAGAGACCAGCAAATCAGATTGAAGTACCTGCCCACTGGTGAAAGTAATGTCAAAGCCAGAATGTCAGACCCAGAGTCAGATTTTTCTTTCTTTTCATAAAGAACGGGGTTCGAATCCCACTTAGGCACTTGTAAACAATCATTTTAGAACATTTTGTCAAAAATCCCTACTGAAAAAACAGCTTAAACCAGCCTAGGCTGGTTTAAGCTGGATTTTTCTGCAGGGATATTGTTATGTTTAACCATTTATTAGAGCCACAATGTATCTAAAACTTATTTTCATGTTTGAATAGCCAATAAATGTGCTAAATAAATTAAAATAGAAATACCCACAGTGAAACAGTTATATAAATTTAAATATTAGTTTAAATACATTCATAGTGGTTTTAAATATCTTTTAATATGTAAAGTAGAGAAGTTCACATACAACAAACTGAATAAAACAAGTCTTCGTTTTTAGTTTATTTAAAAACAATTACAAATGGAGTAATTCAACTCACAATTAAATGATCTCATTGAGTGATGGAATAATAAAGGTAAAACTTTAATTGAATGATCAGTCAAGTGTTTCCAAATGAAATCTGTTAAGAGTCCTACTAAACAGGAACAAAGACACTCATGAAACAAAATGTGATTGTTAATTGTATTTTTTATTAGATGGTTGGTTTTAAGTACTTTAAAAATAGTAGATAATCCTTAAATATAGAGAGGGAAATACAGAAAAACAAACAAACAGAAATTCAACAATATATATGCATTACATTACAACCTCGCAATAAAAAATTTAATTAAAAACCATATAGAGGACTAAAATATTGCTAAGAGGCACAACATCAACAATAATAAAAATACCTTTAAGGTTTTAAATACTAAATAAAATTAATAGTATTAATCCAAAATATGAAAAATGTAACACTTTACAATAAGGTTGTATTAATTAATTAAGTTTATGCATGTACTAATGTGAACAAACAATGCAGTGCAGTTCATTACAGTATTCATTATTTTATGCTTTAATTAATGGAAATAAAATTATTGGTTAATTCTTGTTAACTCACAGTGCATTAACATTAATGTTAACAAGCATAACTTTAAATTGTAATAATGCAATAGTAAAGGTTAAACTATAATTAATAAATGTTTAGAAGTATAGTTAATTATTAGTTCATGTTAGTAAATAGATTAACTAAAGAAACCTTATTGCAAAATGTCACCAGAAAATAACAAAAAATTTTTTTTTTTTTTTTTTTTTTTTACAGTTTTAAGAGCTTTAAAAATAAATTATATATCTAGTTATTATGGCAAGTAATTAATGTTACTACTAATTAAATGGTTAGAAAATACTGTCAGAGGATGGGCAAAACACAAAGATAAAACATAATATGCGCATTGACACAAACGACCAAGTGCAAAAACATAAATTACAGCCATGTTCATTCATAATTATATGATATAAATCACGAGAGGGTAAATTTGGTTTAAAAAAACTGAAGTTCATTGACTTATGCACAACAGTAAAACAATGCTTTTGCACAACAGTAACACATTGCGAGTAGTAAAGTCTCTTACCTTTGACAGATGTTGTAAATCCGCTGAATAAAACAAAAGGAGCAGATCGCGGATGTGTTTATTTCACTCTCTGAGTCAGAATGAAAATGGCATCTTCAAATTTCCCGCTGGTGCAAAAACACGGAAGTGCGCCACAAAGCGCTAGTGGTCGAAAGTATGCGTGCATGCTCTCTGTCACACACGCACACACACGCAGAGAGAGCGTTCTGTGTCAACATACTTTTTATCTTTGGGCTTTTTATAGAAAGTAGCAAGTCTTTACAAGTCAATAGGCGCAAGTCCAAGTGAAAGTCCGAGTCATTTATGTTCAAGTCCAAGTCGAGTTGCAAGTCTTTTTATATTTTGTCAAGTCGAGTCTGAAGTCATCAAATTCATGACTCGAGTCTGACTCGAGTCCAAGTCACATGACTCGAGTCCACACCTCTGGGAATGGCTGTTTTGGGGTGTCGACGTCTGGCCCGGCTGACCCTGAGGCAACATTCACACTGGGACCTTTTTAACAGGACATTTTCACAATGAAAAGTCACTTATAGTAACAGCGGAAAAACAAAAGAAGCATACATCTGTCGAGAGCTTATTAGAAAGACTTGATGAAAAGCACATGTTGACTTTATGGTAGAATTGACTCAAATTATGTATTCATATTTAAAGTTAAAGGTTTATTTCTTTTCATACCTTAAAACATTTGTAGTCTGTTATTCATTAATTTTTTTAATACGTAAACTATTGACAATCATGCAGTTTGTTTCGCAAGAAATCTTGTCGGTTTTATTTGGAGTATGCAGTGGCGCAGTAGAGCTGTTGCCTCACAGCAAGAAGATCGCTGGTTCGAGCCTCGGCTGGGTTAGTTGGCATTTTTGTGTGGAGTTTACATGTTCTTCCCGCGTTTGCGTGGCGTTCCTCCAGGTGCTCTAGTTTCCCCCACAAGTCCAACGACATGCAGTACAGGGGATTTGGGTAGGGTAAATTGTAGTTTATGAGTGCAAATGCTGTGTGTATGGATGTTTCCCAGAGGTGGGTTGCAACTGGAAGGGCATCCGCTGCGTAAAACATGTGGCGACCCTGGATTAATAAAGGGACTAAGCTGAAAAGAAAATGAATGACTGAATGAATGAATGTTTATTCTTTGCATCTGTTTTTACCATTTTTTTCTCAGTAGGACGTTTTTAATCAATTACAATATAATATAAATTCAGTATTTTCACATATTGACATATTTTATACAAAGATATTACTTATCTTTAACATTATAAGATATAACATTTACTTAAAATTTAATTATACTTTATGCAATACCCTTTTCACTGTAATACATATTGTATATCTCTCGTTTAACCTCAGAAATGTTAACTTCTCCTTGCCCTTACCCCTCTCATCATCTATTTTGCACTACTATATATCTTCTTACATTAATATTACATCTTGTATATATCTCTTGTTCAACCTCTAGAACTGTTTACTTCACTTCCCTACTCTCCTCATCCCCTTTTTTGCACTACTGTTTATCATCTACAGTTATTACATTGTATATGTGACAATAAAAGGCATTCTATTCTATTATATTCTATTTTCATCCATATTTAGGCTGTTTATTACCTCCAAACTAACTCAAAACATTAATGCACTGCAAAAACACTGCAAAAATATCTGTGAATTAGCAGATTTACGTATTTTGAGAATTGTGTTTTTTGTTATTGTTTATTTATGCTTTTTAATAGGATTATATGATCTAGATGTTCTCTTCAATAACTACTGATGTTGAGGAGTTTACTGACGTTTATTGACAATTTAATAGTTTGAAGTGATACATTGTCTTGGTTGGTTTTGTAAATTATGATGCAAAACCTGGTAATAAACTGCCAAAACTGCCAGTATTTTATGGAATGAATTCTACATATATTATTTCAAACTACTTAAATGTGAATTAAAGTCACATTGTTAATCTGCACAACTGAATATTCAACATTAAAAGTAGACAAAGCAGAGATCAAAGTCCCATAATGCATTTCATTGGTGTAAATAAACAGAAAACACCCATGAATCACGTAGTACAGAAACTCAATAGCATTTTGTTTTATCACCGCTCTTCCAGTGAGAGTGGCTGAGCTCAAGCACGTCATATAAGAAGTATCTTGAAGGGGGCGGGGCATGTCAGATACTAGAGGGCTTTTGATTGTTTATGATTTAGTGAGAAACTGAAGGTATGAATAAAACCGTTGATCCATTTAGGCCAGGTTCTGTCCCGGGGGGCTGTTTTCATGCAGATTTTAGCTCCAACTTGCCTTAGCACACCTACACGGATGTGTTTAAAAGCCTAGTAAGAGCTTGGTTAGCTAGCCCAGATGTGTCTGATTGGGGTTGGAACCAAACTTTGCAGGACACTGGCCCTCCAGCACAGAGTTTGGGCATGCACCCCAGATTTAAGCGGTTGTGACAAACTATAGGCTTAACATGTTTATATCAGTTTTATATTTTCTAAATGCAAATTTTGTCTCTGTTTTGGTGCGCACTAGCTTATAGATATCCTAAAAACAAACAATACTATTATCAACATCTAAAACACTTCATGGGACCTTTATAGTGAACAGCAAATGAATAATGGTACAAGTCAGATCTGAGATTAAGTACACAAGAAATCCCTTCATATTGTACTGTTGTGTTTTTATTCATAATGATCAATACAAAATACAAAAATAAATCGTTACATTAAAAAAATCCTTATATTTTTTAAAGTGGCTCAAAAACGTTACAGCAATCGGGCATTTGAGTCAAAACGTCACAAGGTGTGTTAGATAAACGTGTGATGAAACCAAAAACTCACATTCACATCTCTTCATCATGTGGCTAAAAACAAAACACGCTATATACGGAATACATACAGTCATATTAACTTAGTCTACAAAATAGCTTGCGGTTCAGTTTTGGTCCCTGTTCAACCCATTCACTGACAGCCATTTAGTGCTGGAGAATATTTACAAGTTGATCCAAACTGCAGCCAGTATGAGGGCACTCGACAGTGAAGATCAGTATGTAAATGCTGTTCATTAAGGCCTGAGTCATGAAATGTCGCAGACAGAAATTATAAGCTGCCATGGCGTGATTGCATTACAACACCAGGTTATTCACACACACATTGTCTTCTTGAATTTCAGTGTCTGGTGTTTGCTACACACAGGTAGCTGTAAGAAAGTTGAATACAGGAAGCTTTGATTCTGTTTCCAGTGGTAGCGTGCCTTCATTAAAAGTCTCTGTTTCAAAACCTTGCTATCTGCTGCCAATATAGTGCACTACACAACAGACATCACAGTAACTATCATAAAAGTAATTTATTTTAAATGTTATACAAATTTGTCGCCTCACAATTGATTTCAAACAGTTATGTAGTTGATGTAAGCTTCTAGCAATGCATTTTGGCATTGCTTTTTTTTGGCAATTTATTTATATCTCTTCTTTAGATAGGTGACTTTGTAGGTTTTGGAATAGAATTAGCATCAGCATGTATTACCATAGGTCTATACATAATTATAAAGTTAGCATTAGCCTTTCTGGATTGCATAACTTTAGCATGCTGAATCACAAAATTTGCATTAGCATTCTGGATTATTAGTATTTGTGGTGAGCCTTTAGACACCCAAAAGCAACAAGAAACAAATATTTTTATTGTTGTTAACATGAATGTAATCTATTTAGAGTTTGAAATTCATTAAACGTCAGCCATCTTGGATCTTTACTCGGGAGTATTACATTCTGCGATTAGTTTATTTGTTAAATATAAGTCATTGCTTTAAAAAGGTTGGTAGGCTTAGCGGTTTGTTTTGATTTTGGAACAGAGTATGATTTAGCATTTCTGGATTACAGAGCTAGCATTGGCATTGTTGATAAAATGTTAGCATGTTGAACCAAAGAAGTAACGTTAGCTTGCTGGATCACAGATATAATATTAGCATTAACGAACGACAGAATAAGTGTTAGCATTGTTTGACCAGAGAGCTAGCGTTAGCATTCTGGATAATAAGTAAGTATGGTGAGCTTTTAGACACTCAACCCTGCTGAAAAATCCAGCTTAAACCAGCTTAGGCTGGTTGGCTGGTTTTAGGTGGTCGACTAGGCTGGTTTTAGAGGGTTTTTGGCCATTTCCAGGCTGGTTTACAGCCATTTCCAGCCTGGTTTTAGCTGGTCATCTTCCAGCCTTGACCAGCCTAGCCAGGCTGGGAGCCCAGCCAAAACCAGCTATGTCCAGCTTAAACCAGACTGGTCAAGCTGGTTTTAGCTGGATTTAGCTGGTCATTTTCCAGCCTGACCAGCTAATCTGAATCTGAATCTGAATGAATCTGAATCTGAATCTAGCATTAGCATTCTGTTTTCAGAGCTTAGGTTACCAATACTGGACCACATAATGAATTTTAGCATTGTTTGCCCAAAGAGCGAATATTGCTGTACAATAAAGCTTATTTTAGCATAATTGGACCACAAAGCAAGCATTAGCATGAGCTAATGTTAACAATGCTTGGCCTCAGAGCTAACATTAGCATTGTTTTATCACAGAACTGGTGTTAGCACTGTTGGTTCACAAAGCTATCACGATCATAGCTGAATCACAGAGCTAGCATAAGCCTGCTGAATCATTCATGTGAGCTTTAAGCACTTATACTTAAGCCTAGAGCAGCAAAACGATGCAAAATTGAGCTTGAACAGGGGCAGTTTTACCTTTCTGCTTACTTTTTTGTTTTCACTTGCAAACGTCCCTTACTAACCACAAACTATCCTATAACTAAACATTCCTCACAGCTAACACACAAATCCACTAACTCTCATTTTTGCTGTCCTTTAACCAAGTAAATATCTTCCTGGCCTTCACATTCAGTCACACAGACTCGTGCGAGGGTAAATATTAGCAGTGCGCAGCGGCGATGAAGGCGTTCGGTGTATCTGTGTGTGTGTGTGTGTGGTGAGCTGATGCTCCAGAGGCAGGTTCAGGTGAAGAAGTGCTGTTTGTGCAAGCAGTCCAGAAAGAGGAAGAGTGGTCAGCGAGTGTGAGACTCCAGGACACGGGACTCTTTGGACTTTAGAGATTCTCCGCTGTCCTCCTCGCACATCCTCGTCTGTTTACTCTGAGCGTTTCTTCTTTATTCTGAAAAAAGAAAAGGAAAATTCAGATCAGAATTTTACGTTATCAGTTACTTTTTTCATGTGTTTTTTAGATCGATAGCATGGTGGTTCAGTGGTTAGCACTGTTGACTCACAGCTAGAAAGTATCTGGTTCGAGTCCCGACTGGGCCAGTTGGCATTTCTGTGTGGAGTTTGCATGTACTCTTTGTGTTGGCATGGGTTTCCCCACAGTCCAAAGATATTTACTATAAGTGAATTGCATTAACAAAATTGGCCATATTGTATGTGTTTATGTGTGTGTGTGTGCGAATGTGAGAGTGTATGGGTGTTTCCCAGTACTGGGTTGTGTAAAACATATGCCAGAATAGTTGGCTGTTCTTTCCACTTTGGCAACCTCTGATAAATGAGAGACTAAGCCGAAGGAAAATAAATGAGTCTTTTTCAGACAATTGCACTGATCTTAAATATATCAGTGCCTTTGTTTTGTCTCAGTAATTACACCAGTAATTATTTTGTCTAAGGTACATTTAAAACATGACTTATTGGCTATATGGCCAAACTATGTGGCCTAATCCTGGTTCAGTCTAAGCTCTGTCTGTGAAAACAGGCTATAAGATTTTTGTGAGTTTTGGAGATGTTACATTATAGACATGACAGTAAATAATTTCTATATAAATAAATATAGAATATAAATAGAACATAAATAAATGTAAATATATATAATAATGTTATAAAAAGATATTATAGTCATTAAGCCATTCTACATTTCTAAATAAATATTCATAAAACACACACACACACACACTTTGTGATAGAACACTGACCTGACATCATAATCAAAGTCATATTTTTATTTGACTGCATGGGGGGATTTTTATTTTATTTACACACACACACACACACACACACACACACACACACACACACACACACACACACACACACACACACACACACACACACACACACACTTCTTTGTACTAGTGTTCACATCAAATCAATATGACAATTTACATAATTCTTAATTAACATTTACATATTTTCCATTTAAGCAAAAAACTGTTTATAGAGCAGTAATTAAACTCAAGATTAATTTTGTATTTAATTTAGATATTACTAGACTATTTATGAACTATTTATCAATTTTAACATTTTTATTAAGCTTTTAATTTTATTCATTTTATTTTTGTAATTTTAGAAAAGTAGTAATTTTAGTATTTAAATCAATTGCCCATTAGTTATCAAAGCAGCATTTTTCTTTATTAGTTTTTCATACTTCATTCATACTTATGCAATATTTAACTTTTTATTTTAATTTTATTCATTCATTCATTCATTCATTTTATTTTCGGCTTAGTCCCTTTATTAGGGTTGTCACAGCAATGAACCACCAACTTATCCAGCATATTTTTTACACAGCGGATGTCTTTCCAGCTGCAACCCATCTCTGGGAAACATCCATCCACACTCATACACTATGGACAATTTAGCCTACCCAACTCACCTGAACCGCATGTCTTTGGACTGTGGGGGAAACTGGAACATCTAAAGGAAACCCACACGAATGCAGGGAGCACATGCAAACTCTACACTAAAACACATTACCTGACCCAGCCAAGGCTTAAACCAGCGACCTTCTTGCTGTGTATGTCAGTTGGCATTTCTGTGTGGAGTTTGCATGTTCTCCCTTGTTTGCGTGGGTTTCCTCCAGTTGCTTCGGTTTCCCCCACAAGTCCAAAGACATGTGGTACAGGTGAATTGGGTGACATATATATATATGTTAAACTAAAAATGTAATACTTTATCAGATTTATTTCAGTTAACAAAGTATTAAATAAAAACAGCTTTTCTCTAGACTAATGTATTACAATTAGCACATATGTATTTTTTTCTTTGCATGGTTTAACAGCATCAGTCATTTTGTCTGTATGCCTCAATAGGAGGTCGTAAATAATAGTGACGTAAAACTCTCTGTTCTGCTGTTCCCTCATCATTAATCTACAATTAGTGTAATTAAAGAACAGATGTTAAATGCTAAAGGCTCTGTGGTATAGAGCTTAATCACCTACTTAAATATTTGTGTCAACTTATATAGCTTAAATTACCCAATAACATTCCACATATGCCACTTAAATGTAAGGAAAGAGTCAGACAGCATGCATGTAAACTGGAGGTATGATTTTAATAGTTAAAAAAGAGCTTGAAGGTATTTACATTACTAATGATGCCTGCTCAACTAAAAATAAAAGCGTTGTATGGATTTTGGTTATTAATTTGCATGACAATAGAGACTGTCCACAACTGTGGAATTTGAGTCATATTTACTTTATTAGTCATTTTAAAGTAAGTCAATAAATCTGACTTTTTATTAAACTGACAATTAAACATTTTATTAAAAACATGTAACATTTGGTATTACCTAAATATGTTTTTTAACTTATTTATTTGGAATATTTTAGCATTTTTAAAGTTTTAAAATAACCTTCAGCATATTTTAAAATGTTAAAATAATATAAACACACATGTTGTCAAGACTTTTTGATTATGTTTTGATTATACTCATTTTAATCAATTAGAAACTTTAATTTCAATTAGAAACCTTAATTGAATACATATGTGTATTACTAGAGCTAGATTTAGCATTGCTATTGTTATTGTTGTAAGTCTTTGTGAAAAGCGAATGTTTTGACATTATTGTCTGTATGTGAAACTGTTTGTTGTTGTGAATGTCAATGCGGATGTATTCTTATTAGTTCTGGTCAACGCAAAAAAAAAAAAAAAATCTTTTTAATTGCAATTAATCCACCCTGATCATCATGAAAAAATGTACTGTAAAGAGTGTGAAAAAAACTCTTTTACGTTTTGTGAGTTTAGTGGTTAATTCATACAAATTCATGACTTCAATCGTACGAAAATGTACAACTTTAAAAAGGAGGCGTGGCACCCAACCCCACCCCTAAACCCAACCATCATTGGGAAATGAGCAAAACATACGAAATTGTATGAATGAGATTGCACAAATTCATACGAATTAGCCACTAAATAAAAAAGCTACTAATTTCCAGGAGATAGCATTGGATTAGTTGGATGGTTTTTCAGTGTTTTTTTCTTATGATTTTGCTACCCCTCCTGTGACCTGTAGTTTGTCTGTATGTGTATTCAGAGCCAGTCATCAATTGACTTTTAAAAGAATAATAAAACAATTGTATTTAACATGCGATAAAATAATTTTCTGCGTAAATTATGCTTTTGACTTGCCCAGCTCTAATTCTTATATTTAAACTGATGACAATTGCGTAAAAATAACAAATTGCAAATGGTGTAAATTTCACAATCACAACAATCACAAATCTAAACTCGAGACATTCACTAATTGTCCCAGTTCTGACTTTACACTGTAAAACCCGATAAGTTAAATTAACTTAAACTGTTTGAGGAAACCGGTTGCGGAAAGTCACTTAAGTTTTGAAACAATAGTATTGTATGGTTACGGTTTGAATGTTATTGTAAACTTATATTATTGTGTCACATACACACATATATCATTTGTGTTGATATCATCAGACTTTTAGCGTATTAGTAACAAACATTTTATCCTCACTTATCCAATCACTATTAGTTCAATTAACTTAAAATAATTTCAAACAACTATATAGCTACTCAAATTGGTTGTTAACACAAAAATATAATTACTTCATTCATAACTCATTCAATTAGAGTTAATGAGATACCAAAACTCTTTTTCATTGAGTCAAGGTAACTTTTTTAGTATTATAAATTCAAAAAACTTATTTTATTTAGTGATTTTCTCTTTTTTACAGTGTACTAAAAACATATATAAACATAGACATGCTTTAATAAATGAATTTTGCATTAGTTTGAAATGTAACAAAACATTTTACATATGCATTAGTGGATTTTTAGTGGATGCATTAGTGTTGCATTTTAATCTAAATTACTTGAGATTATGAGAAATATACACTTTCTTACGCTGTAAAAATTGTTGCTGCTTTAATTGTTTTAGTTGAATCAGAAATAAATATTCTAGTCGTCCCAACTTACATCAGTCAAACTGACTAAAAATGTTAAGCTAACAAAATAGAGTTCAAACCTGATTAAATTATTAAAATAAGTTCAATCAACAGAAAATATTTGTTGTCGTGACTTTTTGTTATTATAATTTTTTACAGTGTTTATAATTTTTAAAAATGATTGTCCATCATGAATTAGTTTACGTTTTAAGTATTGTTTTAAGGACTGGTGATTCTCATGAAACCCCGGAATAAAAGTTTCTCCTTACTTGTTAAGGGCATTCTTTAGATACTGCTGAAGCCATTTGGTCTTTGGGTTGATGCAGACCTCTCTGTTGTTCTTCAGCTTGGCACTGGTAATGAGAGAGAGAAAAGAAGGGATTTGTTTCAGACGAAAGCAGAATGGAGGCTGAACCTTCCTCCCTGAGCGCCTCTACAGTGTGTTTTATCAGATCATATCAGCTGGTCGTCATGGACCACATTTCAGTCGCTCTATTCTACTCTGTACCGCCCTCCATCTGATAACAGCACTCAATTAAAGCCCTTTCGTAAGGACAGTGTTGTGCTGTCTGGAGGTTTGCCATTTTCCAGGGTCCGAAAGATTCCTGCTGTATATGTGTATATAGATTGACTAGTGGTACACTGTTAAACTCAAAAAGTTGAGGTAACTCAAACCATTTAAGGAAACCGATTGCAACAAACCATTTAAGTAAAAACTAATCCTAATGAGTACTGTGAACGTAAATGAGTAAACGAAGCAATTTGAGCACAGAAAAACTCAATAAATGAAGAGAACTCAAACCAAGTGAGTTCTGTAAAACCCAATAAGTTAAGGCAACTCAAACCATTTGAGAAAATAAAACGAGTGTAGTTAACTCAAAATTTTTTGAAAGTTAAATCTGCTTATTTGAAAAGAGTTTTGAACTTATTGTTAAAGTTAATGAGTTAATTAAATACCTCATTACTTCAACTTAAGTAAAGTAAGTACACAGAACTCATATAGATTAGTTTTTTTACTCAAATGGTTTGTTGCAATTGGTTTCCTCAAACGTTTTGAGTTGCATTAACTTATTGAGTTTTAAAGTACTCAGTTTGTTTTGAGGTCTCTTCATTTATTGGGTTTTACTGTGCTCAAATTGCTTTATTTATTCATTTGGATTAAGTTCACAGAACTCATTAGGATTAGTTTTTGAACTTTAATGGTTTGTTGCAATTGGTTTTCTTAAATGTTTGAGTTAACTTAACTTTTTGGGTTTTACAGCATACTTAAAGTACATATTTACATGATCATATTCTACATGCTGAATCAATGCTTAAATCCAGGTGCAACCATGATATCTATTATAATCAGCAAGTTAGGAGTGTATTGAGGCAATAGTTAATTTTCATAGTTTGTTAATAGTCAGAATTGTACCCTAAATAAATACCAAAGTTATATTTGCCATGCTTTGCTTTTTCATAGAAATGCTAAAATAGTATTTTACATTTTTGCAATGTGGTAAAAGTTGTATTGGTAGTAATATAAATGGTTACTTAACTCTAATGACTGTGGAATTGTGAAAAGCATACATTAGTGATCATTCAGTGTGAGATGGATCCATTAAATAGGCCTGTTTTCAAGCATTAATTACCATGCTAGTCTCAGAGTAAACAATGCTTGATGTGAGATATTCAGTTTTAAAGACAAAGAGAAAGTCAAGAATCTGAAAGCTCCTCAATCTGAAGTCTTTCGGTTTGATATCTGACCTCCAAATAAGCTTTGTCAAATCCTCTCAAACGCTTCGCTCCGCCACACACAGAGAAAACCACACAAATGACACCCAGACTTCACACCTCGCCGCCAAAAGGCTATGTTTGAGAATTAGCGGCTCACGTTGCCATTCAAATGGCTCTTATTCGTGTTTCTGACACCTCACACATGCATCTCCAAATCAGTCTAGACAAATGGAGCCCGTCAGCTCGGATAAAAGATCGGCTGAACTCCCAAATCTGCAAGTTAATCAACTTCCCCATCAGTAAGCTAACTCTGAGTGTAACACTATCTCTGCTTGCTTTCTGCCGGGATGTTTTCCATCTGTTTGTTTGTTTGTGATTTAGCTTTGAGAGTTAATCTAGCTAGTCTAAACGATCTTTTGCATGAGTCTGTCGGTGGTCTGGGCCCGAGCCAGCAGGTAGTAATTACCTCACAGCTAGCTAATGCTAACAACAAAATGAGTGATGTGCGGGGGAAAAGGCTAGGTGGCTGTCTTTCATCTCGGCCAACCAATCCCAAAGCATTTCTAAACAAGATGTGTGGAAGACGGCAGATTAAAGGTGATTTCCTCCGGCCCCAAAGTTTGTTCCATGAATGACCCTGGGCTACATGCTAACCCCTCTAACCCCTGTAACCTTGATCCGCCTGTAGCGATTTGGCTTTTTGCTGCCCGACGGGGTACAAATGGTCCGGTTTAATACATTCCAGACGGCTGAAGTAATACCAAATGCTGGTAAAAATGAAAACGACAAGGTCGCTCACAACACAGAGCTAATCTTTTTGACCCTCAGAGATTATTGAGTCGTGAAAACCATAATCGATGTCTCATAACTTCTCGTTTGCTCATTTTTGGTGTTTTGCTGTTATTGAAGAATGGCAGAATTCTGCTTTCCCACACTGATTTGACTCATAACAAAAAAATGTGACGTTTAAAAGCTGTTTCTGGAATTTAAAATGTCTTTTATATTATATAACTCATATATATTGCAGTCATACACCTCATTTTCTATTTAATTGTAAGTTTTAAATACTTCATTTTAGTGACATTTTATGCTCTATTTTTTAGCTGCACTCACTTGTCGAATGGCCAACATAACCACACTTTCTGATGTGTCAAAAATATTTTCTTAAGATTTATAGACGATTAAGAATAAAAGTTAGCTGTATGTTTTCTCAGTTTAAAAACAATGCAGTAGCGAAAGATGACTTCTCCTACAGGAGCTTGTAAAATGAAAATGTTTGTTAGCATTGGCCAAATTTGATAAGCTGAATTCACACTAAAGCGACAGCCAACAGAGTATTCTGCTTGGTCTTATAAAATAAAGTAAATAAAACAGAAGTATACAGTGCTCAGCATAATTGAGTATACCCCATGAAAATAAATAGGCAATGTATTTTGCTGCATTTAAACAAAATAGATTTATTAAACAGATATGTTTATCAAAATAATATTTTATTCACCAAACATATTTAGAAATTGAAAAATAATACAATTAAATTCAAGCTACATTTTTTGCTTCTCTTGATTTTTCTTCTTTTTAAAATTTATATTTAATATTTTTATATACCATATAAATTTGGGTGTACTAGTTTTTGCATCGTTATCGCAAGTTGGTTCATTAGATAAGCTCCAGATTTGGCTTCAGTACTGATTAATCTAATGTGAATTCAGAAATATAATATTGTTTAGCTTCCTATTAAGATTATGAATTTAAAAGAGAGATTTGTGAGGGTATACTTATATATGCTGAGCACTGTATGTCTTTAAAATAATCTATGAAATCTATGAATTCTATCTTTGCCTGATAGAATTTGTCTTCTTTCTTTTTTTAGGGAGAATTTATTTTCTCCAGTTCTTAATATTTCATTACATTCCTCGTTAGATGTATGGATGTAGGAGCAGCTTTCTGTTTCCAGTTTAATAATATTAACCTCTGTGCTTGTAGACTGACAAATGGAACAATATTTTGTTCGGTACTGTTTTTAGCTTTCTCAAAATCAGTTATGCATAAACCTTCAATAAGGAGATCTGGATCTATCGGCTTTTGACATATTCTTGAGAATGTTAGAAAAATGTTTTCCCAGTAAGATGATAATTTTGAGCAGCTCCAAAAATGTTAAACTACTTTTGTTTGGAAGAAACTCTTAACAACTCCATCCTTTTTGTGTTTAAATGTTAGTCAATTGATTTTTATATGTCATTATTAGTCCTTGCTTTTCTTATTATTCTTATTCATTTATGCAAATATATCTTAAAACATATTAATCTCTAATTGATACATCCAACATTTCCTTTGTAAAACATACATTTGTAATATAATATAATATAATATAATATAATATAATATAATATAATATAATATAATATAATATAATATAATATAATATAATATATATTTTGTGTTCAACAGAAAAAGAAAGACAGGTTTGGAACAAGAGTAAAGGATGACAGAATTCTCAGTTTTGGTTGAACTATCCCTTTAAAGTGCCCTTTGTCTGGTGTAACCTGATTAAGTGTAGTAAAATGGAGTAAAGTGTCTCACATGACTTGGAAAGGGCAGCTGGGAGTGTGGAGGAACTTGATCTCTCGGATGCTCCGTTGCGGGACGGTGTTGAGGGTGGAGCGACACCAGCACCTCTCCACCAGACTGATGGGCTTTGCTAAAAAACAACACAAACAAACAGACACTTATTAGAAAAACAAATCAAACTCAATACATTCTTAAGTTTAAGACTAAGGAAGCAAGCCCTTAACAGTCACTAAGAACTTTAGTGAAAGTGAAAGTTTTCTTCTGTGATACATTCACCCAAAAATAAAAAAGCTGTCATCATTTACTCTTCCTTCACTTGTTCAAAACCTTTGAGTTTCTGTCCTCTGTTGAACACAAAAGAAGATATTTTAAAGAATGCTGGTTGCTAGGAACCATTGACTATTTATTGTAGGAAAAAAAAATATGTAAGTCAGTGGTTTCCCGCAACCAGCATTCTTCAAAATATCTTCTTTTGTCTTAAACAGGGAAAAGCAACTCATGCAAAATGATGACTGAGATTTTCTTTTTTGGGTGAACTACCCCTTAAACCACACATCAAGAAAACCACATTACAAAAGACTTTGGTTTGTTTCAAATAAATAATAATGTTTTGTTTATGGAAAGCTTAACTTTGAATAAAATATGTAACGTTTCGCAGGATCAAATCATAATACTAGATGATTTCTGAAATATTGTGTGACACTGAATACTAGAGTAACAATGCTGAAAATGCAGCTTTATGATGGTCAATAGGGAATTTGCTGTGTGCCTGGAAGAAATAATACATTCATAAAGGAATAAACATCATCTTCCAGCAATACATGAGCACTGAGGTCATTGCAAAACCAAAAGCCAACATTTCATTTACAGTAACGAACTGAAATACACCACCATGACACATTGAATGATATATTCTTTGGCTGATTTCTAATAAAATAGAAACTTCTAAATATATTCAAATACTAGATAGACATTTTAAATGGATTTTTTTTTTCATAAGAAGCTTCGGTCACACTTTGTTTTGATGGCCCATTTGTTTAATGTAAGTTACATTGCATCTACATGCCAACTAATTCTCATTAGATTATAGGTAGATTGCTAGTTTAGGGTTAGTGTAAGTTGACATGTACTTGTAATTTCTTATAGTCAGTTAAATGTCATGAAGGAGCAGTATCAACAGATATTAAGCAGACAGTCTACTAATACTCAAACGGACCATCAAAATAAAGTGTTATTTTAAAATGTTCACTTTTCCTTTAGAATTTGATCATTTTTGGATGGTACATTTTTTTTTTTCCAAAATATAAATATTGCAAAAAGATGTTTAAATATCATGTAAATTATTTTTGTTGTATTACTATAGAGACAAAAAATCAATTATTTCAGGAAATACAGCATAAAATGAATTAAATATTTCAATATACACACAAATATTAGCTGCTGTTCAAACTACTCATTTAAAATGAGCTGAACGCACATTTCTTGAGATTGTTTTGGACAACTTCATTGTTTTATGTTCAATCCACTTACATTTATAACATCAATTAGGTTAACTTAATCAATTTGTGTTAAGACAACAAGAAGGAATTGTGTGGAACCCAGAAATGTTTACAGTATAAAATAATTAATTCCTTCACTTAAAGAGACAGTTCACCCCAAAATAAAAATAGCTTGTTCATTTACTTACACCTAAGTGATTCTAAACTCTGAGTTTCTTTCTTTTGTTGAACACAAAAGAAAATATTCAGAAGAATGTAGGAAAAAACAGCCATTGACATCCATAGAAAAAAAATACAATGGAAGTCAATGGCTGTTTTTCCACCCAATACTTTTCTGAATATATTGTATTGTGTTCAAAACAGAAGAAAGACATTTATAAAAGTTGATAAACGATGAAGAAATATTCATTTCATTTAATTAATATTATATTTAAAAGTATGCTAATATAACATATTTATTCTTAAACTTTTAAATGGTTTATGGAAATATAAATTTGGTGTATTTAAACAGATTTTTTTTAATGAAATCAAAATGTTTAGATTCTTAACTATAAATTTAAAACTATAGATTTAGTCAAGTCAGTTAAATTCAATATGTAATGCATGGGCAAAATATTTATTAAGTTTACATTAAAAATAACATACACTGTAAAAAAAAACCTGGTTGCCTTAAATTTTTAAGCTGAATCAAATTAACCTAATGAGTCCATTGAACTTATATTATGTTAAACTGACCTAAAGCAGCTTGCGTAACTTAATAAATGAAAAAAATTAGAACAAGATTAACTTAGTTCAATAAGTTACAATGAACTAAAAACATACACTGTGATGACTAATTGATCATATAATGTTTTACAGTGTACATTTATCTACAACTAATGATAATAGTAATACAAAAAATCTACATTTTAGGATAAAACTGTAATAATAAATAATAATCAGTATATAGTTTTAGTCTCTCTCTCTTTATAAATAGCACACATTACATAAATCACATTTTAGACATTTAATTTCCATCCAAAACATTTTATAAATTATCTAAAAGCATGAAATCAACACAAACCTTATCTTTTGCTTTTGCATTTTAACTCAATCATTTAGCAGAAGATAAAGAGCGCGCATTCAGTTTGTGAAAGCGTGTGTAAGTGTTGGATCACCTGCGTCTCTGATCATTAAAAACAGATTAGCCTGCTCTTCTAGCGGCCCTCATTCACTTGTTCAGGGGCCACATTTTTCATAAAGAGCTCTTTTTAAAGGGCCCTCGGCAGGAAATCCAGCAGAAACTCTCAGATTGCTGCATTAAATGAATCGCTCTCTGAATTCCTCCACATCTCCTTGGTTTTCAGTAATGTCAAGCTCTGAACTTTCCATCAATATCTGAAGTCTGTGCGTTCTCTTTTGGGATGATAAACACAGCGGCCCATTAAGCTTTGACTAAACACAGCGCGAGTGAACTTTCTGTTTTAGTGTTCCCTTATTAGACAGTAATTAAAAGAGTTGGCGGATAAAGTAAACAGCTCTGGCTCCCTTTTTTTTTCACAACAAAGCCAAGTTCAGCTGGTTAAACATCTCCGTCATCTGAGTCAGAGATGGTAACATGTAAAGACATGTGCTAAATGTGACCATGCATATGCAAATAAGCTGAAAGGTGATATTGATGGATGTGCTTAATGAGCATTAATAAGATAATGATCATTAGCCGGAAACATCGACTGTTGTTGAGAACTTGTTTAACAGTTTGGCAGTTTAAAAGAAGACAATAACACAGCAAAACAGATTATTGAGTTTCTACTTTAAATTGTCTCATTTAAATAAAAGATTTACAGATTTATTTATTAAATTTACAATCCTTTTTCAAGAGAAAATTGTTCTAGAAATAAATACTACCTAAAAGGGTTGTTTTCAGTGTAGTGGATTTATATTCAGTAATAACATAAGTAGTTTTGCTTAAGTTTGTTGTGTTTGATATATATATATATATATATATATATATATATATATATATATATATATATATATATATATATATATATATATTTATTTTTTAATTATACATAACTACCTTGCTTTATTGAAAATGTTTTTTGTTTCGTCTATGGTTTGTTTGCTTTTAGTTTAGTTTTATTTTTAAGTTATCTGGTTAGTTTAGTTTTTCTTTTAGTTTTATTGTTTATTTTTTTAAGTTGTTTTGAAAAGTATAGTCTGGTCACTTGTTTTATTTTCTTTAGTGTTTGGTAATTTACTTGTTTTATGTGTAAAAATTAATTAATAATTTATGGTGCTTATATTTTAATTCAGTTTTTGTTTTGATTTATTTTATGTATTTTTTAAATGTCTAGTTAGTAAATGTAAAAGTTGTTTAGACTTGTTCATTTTTTAGTGATCTAGTTTTTCTTTTATGGTTTGTTTATTAAAAGTTAAAGTTGTTTAGATTACTTTAGTCTGGTCACTTGTTTTATTTTCTTTAGTGTTTGATAATTTACTTGTTTTATGTGCAATAACTACATATTTAATGGAGTTTATAGTTTAGTTCAGTCTTTGTTTTGATTTTTTTTTTGCTTTATCTTGTTTTGAGGTTATTTTAGTTGTCTAGTTTGTTTAGTTTCCCTTTTAGTTTTTGTTTGTTTATTTTTAATTTGTTGTGATTTTGTCATTTGTTTTGTAAAAGTAAAAGTTGTTTAATTACTTTAGTCTGGTCACTCGTTTTATCTTCTTTAGTGTTTAGTAATTTACTTGTTTTATGTGCAAAAAATACATTTATATTTTATGACATTTATATTTTCATTCAGTCTTTGTTTTTGATGTCTTTTATGTTACTTTTTTGCTTTTTTGTTTAGTTTTTCCTTTTAGTTTTTTGTTTATTTTTTTAATTTGTTAAGATTTCTTATTTGTTTTATTTTGCGCATTTCTTTTTTGTTTAGTGTTTGGTATTTTAGTCATTTACTTGTTTTTTTATGTGGAAAAAATTAATTAATATTTACTGTAATTGAATGATGCGTTTATAGTGAATATATTATTTAGTTTACAATAAATTTGTTTTTCAAAGTAAAGTTTCATTTTAGCAGACATGATGTCTAGAATAATACCAGAATTATTTTTTTTCTTTTTTTTTTCTTTATTTTATTTTAGTTGTTAGTTAGTCAGTTAGTTTAGTAAGTGTTGCTTTTTGTTAGTTTTGTTATCATTTAATTTTTTTAAATGAAATGTAAGAGAGATATTAATTTGGCAAAAAAAATGTATATATATATATATATATATATATATATATATATATATATATATATATATATATATATATATATATATATATATATATATATATATATATAGTAAAAGTTTAAGGTTTTCTTTTCATTTTTAACAAAATCCTTTCACATTCAGTAACCCCAAATCACACACTAATATCCATCAAAAAGTTGCTCTACTAAACAAACATCAACACAGCATCTCAAAAAATGTATCACTTATATTCTCAACCGTTGCAGATGTAATCAAAATTGTCCTACCGTCAGTCTCTGGGCTCCAGAAGGCGAGCATCAGCAGCGCCACCAGCGCTACTACTTTGCTATCCATGCCAAGAGCGAGTGTGTGTGTGTTCTGTTGATCACAGCGAGTGTCCAGAGCTCAGTGTGGCGTCTCAGTTTGTGTGGAGTGTAAAGACTGAGGGCCGGCGGGACAGAAGCAGGAGGAGGAGGAGTGCAGGAGGAGGCGGAGATGCAGATCCCCCTCAAACCTGAAGAAACTCCTCAGAGCGCTCAGGAGGAACTCGCTGTATTTCCTGACTCTCAGTTTATCAGCCACATATCAGATTCTCTTTTGTTATCATTAGTTAATCTAATCTAAAAAATTACTTTTGCAGCTTGTTTAAACTACATATTTAAAATGAGTTGAAACGACACAATTCTTACATTTAATTGGAGACAACATAATTGTTTTGTGTTCAATCTACTTACATTTGTAAAAACTTAATCAATTTGTGCTGGGACAACATGAAGGAATTAAATCAAATCAAATCAGTTACATTAAATACATAGTTTGAACAAGCAGCAAAAGTCATTTTTTGAGTGTAGATACTTTATTGATCCTGAAGAAAACTCAGTTATCCTAGTAATCATAGTAGTAGTTAGCCTTTCATACATAAAATACATAAACACATAGTGACATGAAGACACACACACACACACACACACACACACACACACACACACACACACACACACACACACACACACACACACACACACACACACACACACACACACACACACACACACACACACACACACAGCAAATAGGGAGGGAAAATAAATAAACAAAAAAAATTATAATAATAAGAATACTTCCTAATTGAAGCATCCAAGCTCAGCTATCAAAAAACAAAATTATGTATGATAAAGGAACTCACACTGTTTTTGTATGTGGTCTGTATCTATGTGTGTGTGTGTGTGTGTGTGTGTGTGTGTGTGTGTGTGTGTGTGTGTGTGTGTCTGCTGTTAAACACAAAGATATTTTAAAGAGTTCTGGTACACTGAAAAATTATTCATTGAATTAACAACATTTTTTTGAGATTGCAAACAATTTGTCAAATTTAATTGAGTAATGTTCAACTAAATCTATTTGTTTAAATTCAGCCCATAGAAATTTTGCAAAAAATTACCTTAAAAAAATGTGCCAGAAGCCATGGACTTCCATAGTATAAAAAAATTACATCATTGGGTGCCAACGATAGCATTCTTCAACATATCTTATTTTGTGCTCACCAGAAAAAAAGAACTGATGGTAAAAACCACACAAGGCAGAGTAAACAATGAGTTACATACAATATTTGGTGAACTATCAATTTAAATTGAATGAACTGAATAATGTAGATCAGAAGTTCCCAAAACTTTTCAAACCGAGATCCTTAAATGAACAATGCCAATGACTCACAACTCCCAATATTCTCTGAGGTGGATATAAATATATAAATCTTGCACTCAACAGTGCACACTAACTAGTAGGCTCAATTTTATTCATAGTTTAATTTTGGAAAACTCTGGGACCATCCTCCATGTTCAATTGAGGCCTGTATTTAATTTTAATGTAAGTAAGTGCTGTAAAGGTGTCAGAAAGTTTAACCTGGTGCCATAAAATCAATGTGCTGCATCTGACACTATTGCTGTGTCTTTAATATAATGTAATCCCCCAGGGGTCGCAAAAAAAAAAAAAAAAAAAAACATGAAATGGCAGATGGCTTTTTATTTGCATGTTGTTTTTTTAGTTTATCATTAACGTCTTTCAATGTTACTATTAACTATTTTGTTCTTCAGTAGGTTATAAAAAAATTATGGTCCTTCTAATAGTTTAATAAAATGAATCTGGTTTTTGTAAATCACTAAGCGACTAAGCGACCCCCCCCCACCTCCCTTATTGTTCCACGACCCACTGGGGGTTCCCGACCCCCACTTTGGCAGCCACTAATGTATATCACTATTAGGTGAAAGTTTGACACACTTTTGCTGTATCCTCATTCACTATTACCTACATTAGTCTACTAATATTAGTAGAGGAGACCGTGCTCAGTAATTTAGCGGTACAACATTTACACGATCAATCTTCTCAGTTAGAGTCAGTAATTTCTGCTGCATTTACTCCTATTGAATAAAAAGGGGTATTACAAATTACTCAAAATGTAAATACAAGTTAAAGCAAATCAAGTTTGTAACCATGTGAAATTCTTCAGATAATTTTACAGACATTATAAGTGTAATTACTTGTTTTTGATTGTAGGTTGCTATTTTTTATATGGTATGGGGCAACAGATGAAAATAAGCCCTTGTGAATTACTCTAGCTTATTTACAGTTTTTACCAGCCTGATCTCATGAAAATTTTACATGTCAGTTTAGTGATTAATTTGTACAAATATGAGTTCATTCGTGCGAAAATGTAGGGTTTTAAAAAGAAGGGGTGGCACCCAACCCCACCCCTAAACCTAAACGTCATTGCATGGTGGATAACAAAATTATACTAAATTGTATGAATGAGATCATACAAATTCACACAAATTAGCCACTAATTCACTGTTACGAACTGGTGTTCGATTGTGTTGGTTTTTATGGATAATTAATGAACTTAGACCCTGATAAATAAAATTAATAAATAAAATATATAAAAATCAGGAGTGAAGGGTGTTTTAAATGGACTGCATCTCACTAGTTCAGCGGTCTAGCCTGAAAAATAAGCTTTTAGAGGCATGTAACCAAAGTTGGCTTTGGTAAAGCTACACTAACCATAGTTTAACTATGGTATTAGTAAACTGTAATTAACAGGCCAAAATAAACAAGGTTAACATATGTTTATAAATTTTTTTTTCAATTTTTGAAATGGTTGCCTTGAAGTGAAACGTCTGTTATCATTTACTCATCCTCCACTTGTTCCAAACCTGTTTGAGTTTCTTTCTAAAGTTGAACACAAAGGAAAATATAAAGAAATTTGTCGCGGAAAAAAGAGCATAACATTTTTTTTGTTCCGCTATGAATGTTAGTGGCTACTTTTTGTGTGTTTTGTTACAGTAGTTTACAAATCCCTCAGATGGATTCGATTTTGAGCTTCTTGCTCAGACCCTGAGATAGTTATTTATCACTCAGCCAGCTGTTGATTAGGAATTAAACAAAGAGTTTTGATTTCTGTCACATATGCAAACATTACTAATAAAATAATAGATTATTTCTAAACTTAAACCAATAGGATTTCGGTTTAGATGCCATCTAATCTAACACATTGTGACGTTAAGTGAATTACCAGCATAAACAACACAACACTTTAATTCTTTAACAGATGATGGTTTTTCCACCTGTGTGTTGATATTGTTTGTTATTTGCACTAAACACGTTCTTTCTGATGATCTGCGAGTGTCACAGAGACATAACAGTCTCTCAGCGGCCTCAGAAGTGTATCATTAACACTACACAGCTCTGTTTGACCTGCAGGTAGTTTTGTGTCTCGATAACTATCAACAGCCTCTAAAGTTTACAGCCTGTTTAGGGTTTTTTCTCTCAGCGTGAGGCTCTGAATGAAGCCTGTTAAAAGCGTAACACAGAGTCTGCGTTTGAAAACTACTTCACCAGCCGCTGCTTTATGGAGACACTATAGCAGATTTCAGTCTGTGCTCTTGTTTAGTTTTTTTAAAAGTATTTTTGGGGTTTGTTCAGTCGGACAGGAGTAGTTTATTCATGTGTTTCTATTGATGTGTTAATGGGAATTAATAATGTCACGGATGAGTTACGCATGGTTTCACGATGGAGAAACTGAATGTCAAACTGGCTTGACATGTCTTGACGTGTTTAATGAAATTTAAAATGTTTGGCAGAGTAAATTATTTATAATCAATGTATTTTAATCATTCATTTATTCCTTCGGCTTAGTCCCTTATTTATCTGGGGTCACCACAGTGGAATGAACCGCCAACTATTCCAGCATATTTTTTATGCAGCGGATGCCCTTCCAGCTGTAAACTAGTAGATTTCGAGACGTTTTTCCTGATTCAAACCTAAATGGTTTTCACTGGCGTCAAGCAGAAGAGGATAATCACTCCATAACATTAGATTGCACAATACAACTTTAAGCTTCTGACCCAAGCTTGTAACACAGAAGAAGAAGACAGAATGTTGACAGGCTTGTTGTTAAAGTTACTGGTGATTCGCATTGATGGTTCAAGCGGCAGTTCCAGCTCTAGCGATAAAGAAATGAAACTTTTTCACCAGTGCAATAAGCAGCTCCACGTTTATATCGCCTCTGGGCATCTTCTTCAATATGCGCTCGCAATGACAGTTTTGCGCTTGAGCGCCTCCAAATGCTGCTTACTGTAACTTTACCAGCTCCGTGCACATGAACAAAAGTGCCAATCTGATTGGTTTTGACTAGCATGAGGTGTTTTACGCCATGACTATTTTACGCCTGACGTTTTGCGTGTTGGTGTGCTCGATCACATTGGCACACTTTATTTAGTCACGAGGTGTTAAACGTCAACGAAAAAAGCAAGCAAATAGCATCCCGGTGTGCACGGGCCTTCACATTGACAAACACTTAGTTCATCCAATTCACCAGTACCTCATGTCTTTCTGTGAGGCGACAGTGCTAACCACTGTGCTACCTTGTCGCTCGTATTTTAATCACTTATAAATATTAATTCTATATAGTATATACTTATATCCCAAATGTTTCGAAGACTGTTCAAATCCTGAGATCCTAAGTAGTGTTTAACAAGTGACACAGACTGTCCTGTGTGTTCATGTAAATGATGTCACACACCTTTGATTTAAAGTTGGTTTTATAGAAAACATTGAAACACCAAAGACGCTTGAATATGTTGTGTGTTTTATGAGCCTGCACAGAGCAGCATTATAACAGAAGACAAATGTATTTTGTCTGAAAATATGATGCTGCTTTTTTCTTTATGTGATTGAGCAGAATATTTAAGCGGTGGACTGTAGCATAATAAAATCTCTGCTGCTTTCGTCTAGTATCACTCTCTTCCGTCATTAGCATTTGTTTTAGTGCTCTCGTTTCACTTTAACAGCTTTCAGCCTTACTCTGCTTCATATTACCATTAGTGTTGAGTACTTTAGCTCATCTATGAACATGATTTTTGCAGGAGTCCTGTGTG